ATCCACAGTTGGACATCTCTGCAAGGTCCCCTATTATTACTGAATTCATAAATGTTTCTCATAATAAAAAAAAATTACAAATCTGTAGTATTTAAGTATAGAAAAATTTTGGAACATATTTGGAAACACATCAAAGAAATGTCCAGTGTTTCTGTCAACCAAAAAAATTCATGTGACTGATTTTATTGCAATATAAACATTTAGTATCTTTGTTTAAGTACCTGCCTACAATATTATTTATATATGTTTTAAAATGTTGTGTCACTTGAAAAACAAGCTGTTTCTCCAAAATAGAGGAGTTGAGGAGTCAACACATTAGTCTCACATAAAATGTTGAAAAGAACAATTTAACTGAAATAGCAGTGCAAATATCAAGAAGGAAAGGGAAAATTTCCAAGGGCTACAATTCTTCTCTGAATAATAAATGATCATCCTATTATTGCATGATTCCCTTTGGTGCTAGATTTTAAAAAAAGAAAAAGAAAAAAAAGGGAATGAAAAAAGAAGAAAATGAGACCTTCTAAGACAAACCGTTGAAAGTCTTTCCTAGACAAGAAAAATTTCAAAACTCGGGTGGCGCCTGTGGCTCAGTGAGTATGGCGCCAGCCCATATACCAAGGGTGGTGGGTTCAAACCCAGCCCCAGTCAAACTGCAACAAAAAAATTGCTGGGTATTATGGCAGGTGCCTGTAGTCCCAGCTGCTTGGGAGGCTGAGAAAGGAGAATTGCCTAAGCCCAGGAGCTGGAGGTTGCTGTGAGCTGTGATGCCACAGCACCCTACCAAGGGCAAGAAAGTGAGACTCTGTCTCTTAAAAAAAAAAAATATTCAAAACTCAACCATAAACAGCTTGAAGAGATTAAATCAAGCTGTGCTAGAACCTCCATCTCTGAAGCCTCAGAGCTGTGTGAGGTTCTCTGAGTCCATGAGAAGATTCAAGACACTATCTCAGCCTGTCTACCATAGTATAACTTTTAATGAAAAAATATTCTTTTACTATGTGAACAAATCCCACAGGAATATCTAAAAAATAAGTGGAAATTTTTGATTAATGCATTAGATGTAATATACAATATGTAGTAAAGTCCAACCCCTACCTTAACTTGAGAAAAATTAAAGTTCTGAAGTGTAAAAAGGAAGTAATTACGCATGATTTTGGGAACAACAGGTTTGGATTCTGATTGCATCACCTATTACTATATAACCTTGGGCAAGTTAATTTACCATAATTTCTACCTCTTAGTATTAGTCTCATCTCTAAAAGGAGAATAATAATATCTACCTAACATGAGGTTAAGACTAAATGAAATAATAGACAGAAAGTAGTTAGCACAATTCCTGACACATGGTAAGTACACAAAAAATGAAAATTCAGGTTGGGCTCGGTGGCTCATGCCTGTAATTCTAACACTTTGGGAGGCTGAGGCATGCGGATCACCTGAGTTCAGGTGTTCAAGATCAGCCAGAGCAAGAGGGAAACCCCATCTCTAAAAAACCTAGCCGGACATTGCAGTGGGCACCTATAGTCCCAGCTATAGGTGGGAGGGTGAGGCAAGAGGATCACTTAATCCCAGGAGTTGGAGGTTGCTGTAAGCTATGACACCATGACACTCTACTGAGGGCAACATAGTGAGACTCTGTATCAAAAAAAATTTTTTTTCATTCAATTTTGTTTTGGGTTTTTTTTTTTCTTTTTTGAGACAGAGTCTCACTATGTCGCTTTCAGTAAAGCGCTGTGGCATCACAGCTCGCAGCAACCTGAAACTCTTGGGCTTAAGCTATTCTCTTGCCCCAGCCTCCCAAGAAGCCAGGGCTACAGGCACCTGACACAATACCCAGTTATTTTTTGTTATAGTTCTCATTGTTTAGCTGGCCCAGACTATGTTCGATCCTGCCAACCTCGGTGTATGTGGCTGGTGCCATAACCACTGTGCTACAGGCACTGAGCCTTCAATTTTCATGTTATTGAAGTCTTACTCAAAGTTGTAAACTTCTCTTTCAAACAGTGCTTATCATGATTTATTATGTTCTGCAATCTTGATGAAAATAACATCTTATTAGAAAAGTATACATGTATAATTAACCTGGGCACAGTGGGCACATGCCTATAATCCTAACCACTCTCTAGATTATTGACAGAGGATTGCTTGAAGCCAAAAGTTTAAGGCTGCAGTGAGGCATGATCACACAACTGCATTCCAGCCTGGGAGATAGGGTGAGACCCCATTTCTACAAAATAAAATTAAATTAAAAGTGTATAACTGAATACTTAACAATGACTGTATTACACCTACCTCTTTGTTAACCTTAAAAATTTATGAAGTAATAATTAAATTCATGGCCAGGTATGCTGGCTCATGCCTGTAATCCTAGCACACTGAGAGGCCAAGGTGGGTAAATTGCTTGAGCACATGAGTTTAAGACCAGCCTAAGCAAGAGTAAGACCTCATCTGTTAAAAAAAAAAAAAAAAAAAACTAGCCAGACATTATGACAGCACCTGTAGTCCCAGCTACAGGGGAGGCTGAGGCAAGAGGATCACTTGAGCCCAGGGGTTTGGAGGTTGTTGTGAATCATGACTCTGCAGCACTCTACCAGGGCAACAAAGTTAGACTCTGTCTCAAAAAAAAAGAAAAATTAAATTCATAATACTTAAGCTGTCTTTTGGGGTATAGCTACATAAATGTGCACTGCCCTGGATAGCCCAGGGCTAGGAAGCACTTCAAAAAATTCTGTAATTTGACCAGGAATTAAAGTATAGCAAACTATATATTACATCTCTGACACTCTCTTAATCTGGAAGGAAGGACTAAAATTTGTCACTTGATAGATTGTGTCCAATTTTTTTCCTAAGTATATAAATAGTATTAGTAAGTAAAACAAAATAGAATTTGTTAACTTTATTTACTAATATTATAAAATCACATCTCAAAATATCATACATAGGCAGGCACACCTATAATCCCAGCACTCTGGGAGGCCAAGAAGGATGGATTGCTAGACCTCAGGATTTTGAGACCAGCCTGAATAAGAGTGAGACTCTGTTTCTACTAAAAATAGAAAAACTCGGCTTGGCCCCTGTAGCTCAGTGAGTAGGGCACCGGCTACATACACCGAGGCTGGCAGGTTCCAGCCAGGCCCAGGCCTGCTAAACAACAATGACAACTACAACCAAAAAATAGCCAGGTATTGTGGCAGGAGCCCGTAGTCCCAGCTATTCAGGAGGCTGAGGCAAGAGAATCTCTTGAGCCAAGAGTTTGAGGTTGCTAGGACCTGTGACTCCACAGTACTCTATCAAGGGTGACATAGTGAGACTCTGTCTCAAAAAAATAAATAAAAACAGAAAGACTAGCTGGGCATGGTGCAGGTGCCTATAGTCCTAGCTACTAAGAAGGCTGAGACAAAGAGGACTGCTTAAGCCCAAGAGTCTGAGGTTGCTGTGAGCTATGACATCATGGCACTCTACCCAGGGCTATATAATGAGACTGTGCTTCTAGAAAAAAAAAAAAAAAGGTCAGCTTAAGGAGGAAGTGGCCAATGTAGGGAGATGGTCAACTATAGAGATTCCACTAGAGTCTTCTGAGAGAATGGAACACTACACTGTTCTAACTGGAAAAAGGACAATGACAGGATTAAGAGACTGGAGACTAGCTTCTTTCCAAAAGAGTCGAGGATTAGTTTGTTTATACTATGTCTCTGTGAAGTCTTCTTTGAGTTAAATCTAATGAAAGACTTTTGAGCTTCCAGGGAGGTGGGGGAGGGGGGGACAAAAGAGTCAAAGATAATACAAGGGTCATTCCTTTCACTAACTAGCCCTGTTATTTAGATTTTCAGCACAGTAAGGGATTAGTTCACCTGCACTGAGAAAAAAACTGCCAGAATCCAGGAGTATAAGAGCAAGCTGCTTTATAAGTTACTGATGCTAAGTTGACTAACTCCAGGATATACAGCGTTTTAGTAAGTTAGATTTACACCAGGTATGATATAACAAGTAATGCCTTATTAAACTTAGATTTTGATGATTTAACCTTTTTAAAAGAAGTACCCTTTTTAAAAATGGAATGTGTAATATCCTATTCAAAATTCTGATGAGTTCTACTTTTGTTTAAAAATAACTATTGAAAGTTAGTGATTTTTATCTTATCTTGGCTTAGAACACTTGTATACTATCACTCAGATTACAGACCATATAACCAAAGTATCATCTAGCTAATGGTAAGTTATTCTAATTGAAAATGAAGTATCTTCCAAAAAATATAAATATTTCAGGGCTAAAACTATAAATGGAAATATAAAAAAGATATTGTTTCAAATCACAAATTCCTAGAGCTAATTCCTGCTTTTCAGCCCCAAATTTCACATATAATTCTTTCCAAAAATACAAGACAAAATTGGTCTTAAAATTAAACTGAATATTTACTACTAAAAACCCACAGGTAATAATTTAACATCATCTTTTCTTAAAAAAAATGCATCTGAAATATAAAAAAGCTTACAATGTTAAATGTGGTAAGGACCTAATTTAGAAATCTAGATTAGATAACATTTAAAAGGATGTTAAAGATGCAAAAAATATAATAAATGAGTAAATCCTTAAAAAATAAAGAGATGTTGAAAGCAAGAAATATCTACATACAAACATACATATATTCACACATATATATTTACACAACTATGTGTATATATGTATCTTCATTTTATAACATTAAAAAAATCTGCAAAAATGTATACTGAAATCAAATAATTAAAAGTGAATGAGTTAAATATACTAACAATACTTGTTTTCAAATATAATTCCATGTCAATCTGCTTAATGAAGTGTTGAGCCATTATCTGAGTTTATAAATTAAGACTGGCAGCTTTAAGACTTGCTTTAGAGTGGGGTGCACCACCTATATGCAGATCTTCTTTAAGATCATTTCCAACAATCTCATCTTTGAGAGTAGTGGATTTATATTATTTCAAATGTGGTAAGTTGAACAAAATCAATACTGAACAACATACCTTTCAGATAAATTAAGGCTTTGGTGAAGAAGTTCTAATTTTTGACATGTCTCTAGGCTGTCAACAGATGTCGAAGGCAATGAGTCTGATTGTACCTTGTTGGCATCACATAAATTAGCATCGTTTCTAGGTAGGGTCTTTCTGAATTTTCGTCCTAAATCCGTCCATAGGACATTCGTCAACATAACTTTGAGTTGCCTGTTACACACATAAATAATTAATACACAGGGTATCGGACACTGTATATAATATATGAATTCATAACAAACTGTAACAAATTAATTATCTCCAGGAATTCCAAATTTCAGTTCTTTAAGAAATTAGAGTAATAAATAGTCTAAGTTTTTAAAAATGCCTATTCTCAAATATACATTGAAAAGTACTATTTCACTTAAGTTGGAAATTCTGTCCAGCAAAGTCAAGTCTATTTCACATATGTTCAGAATTCTGTCAAGTATGCTCAACTGTCATCATGCATATGTACAGTTGGATTCCTGGCAACCCATTCATGGAAGGACAATGTGCTTGTGCAGATCTCATCACAGATGCAACCACTTTCTACACTAAAAACTACATTTTTGTTTTAGCATTCGCCAACTCAAGAAACTATTAGAACTAAAGATTCATGATTTACAGTCATCAGCCTACATAGTCTTGAGATACAGTTTAAAACATTTGCTTTTACTGCACCTATACCAACTTCAAAAGGAAGACATAAATGCAAGTACTTCCAGCTTTGTGTTCATCATGTCTTCCCCATCTGCTCATTTAGTACATCTTTCTTCCTTTTTTGTTTTTGTTGAGACAGAGTCTCATTTTGTTACTCTCAGTAGAGTGCCGTGGTATCATACATAGCTCATAGCAACCTCAAACTCTTGGGCTCAAGTGATTCTCTTGCCTCAGCCTCCCAAGTAGCTAGGACTACAAGCACCTGCCACAACGCCTATTTTTTAGAGACAGGGTCTCGCTCTGCCTCAGGCTGGACTTGAACTCCTGAGCTCAGGTGATCCACCCATCTCAGCCTCCCAGAGTGTAATTCCCAGAGTGGAATTACAGGCATGAGCCACCGCATCTGGCCTTATTCAGTACATCTTTGTGCTAATAATACTTTAAGAGCTATACTCAGTTCTAGAACCATGAAATACAGGTTTTTTTCAGGGAAGATTTTACTGACAATATAAATTTAAGCTGAAGTCTCAAAGAAGGATAAGCACTATCCAAAGAAAGCAAATGAAAATAAAGAAAAACCTTAAAAAGGGACAAAATGCAGGCCAGGCATGGTGGCTCAGGCCTGTAATCCCAGCACTCTGGGAGGATGAGGCAGGTGGATCACCTGAGCTCATGAGTTCGAGACCAGCCTGAAAGAGTGAGACCACATCTCTATAAATAGACAGGTATTGTGACAGGCACCTGTAGTCTCAGCTTCTTGGGAGGCTGAGGCAAGAGGATCACTTGAGCCCAAGAGTTTGAGATTGCGTTGAGCTATGATGCCAAGGCACTCTACTGAGGGCAACAGAGTGAAACTCTGAAAATGCTCTGATATGAGTTTTGTTCAAAAAAATTAAAGAACTCATCTGCCTCCCATGCTTAAAGTAAATAGAAAATATGTATAAAATAAGAATGGGTAGTTAGGTATTAAGGTTCTAGACTTTATGTCAACAATACAGGAAATCTACCAGTTTTAACAGAACAGTAAGATCATAGCTGCTTCTTTTTAAAAGATCATTTTGATATTTATGAAGAAAAAAATGAAAGTCCGAAGGATAATGGGAATTAAAAAATGAATTTAGAGAGGTAATGATGACTTTGCCAGAGGTAATTTAGTACACCACTGGGAGCAGAAACCCAAACACACTGGGATGAGTACATGGGAAAGGAGAATAATGATATGGCAAACACAGGCTTTGATAGGAAGAATTTATGTAAGTTTAAGTGTTATGAGAAGAGATCAAAGGAGTAAGAAAAGTAAAAAAATACCATATTAATACAGTAAGATTCCTAAGAAATGGCGTAATAAGAGCTAATATTTACTAAACATGTACTATATACCACCAGGCACCGTGCTAGGCATTTTACAATGATTTACTTCATTTAATCCTTACTACTCTATGAAGTACTAATATAATTCTTCTTCTTCTATAGTTGAGAGGACTGGGGTACAATAATTCATATGTGAGGCCACAGAAAAATCCAGAGTCAGTAGTGAAACTAGGATCCTAAACCATACACTCTCAATTCTATTGCTAGCACTCTTAACTTCTCCACTATGCTAGTTTATGAAAGGAGAAGAGGCACCCCCTTCCTTCCTTCCAGAAAGGAGAAAGAACCAAGAGCACATCTTCAAAGTGATAAGAAAGGTAAAGAATTTGAAAAGATAAAACTTTTCAAATAATCATTGTGGAGAGGAAGAACACAAGCTTTCTAGAGAAAGAGTAAGACCATCTTACAGTTAAGGAATCCCAGTGAGATTAGCAATCACAAATTTTAATGCCACAAATGTCCCGTTTTGTAATATTTTTTCCATCAGTGCCACACCAGATGTCAGCATGATGCAGATAATTGGGTTCACAGATGGTTATTAGTTATGAAGAAGAAAAGGCATCTTTACAATGGAGAGATCTAGCAAGCATCACCTTAGCACAGTGATTCTCAACCTTCCTAATGCCATGACCCTTTAATACAGTTCCTCATGTTGTGGTGACCCCCAATCATAAAATAATTATTTTCGTTGCTATGTCATAACTGTAATTTTGCTACTGTTATGAATCGTAATATAAATATCTCACACGCAGGACAGTGTTAGGCAACCCCTGTGAAAGGGTCATTTGACCCCCAAAGGGGTCACGACCCACAGGTTGAGAACCACTGTCTTAGCAAGTGATCAAGTACAGGACTGCCAAGAGTGGAACAACCAGAAATATGTATCCTGTGATACGTGCAATAAGAAGTACATGACATCAGGTATGATGTTCTCTGTCTAAAAATGTAACATGAATGTAATCATAAGGGCAAACCCAGAAAATAATAACAACACAGAATGTGACTGTTCAAAAGTCAATGTCATGATTAAAGAGAAAAGGCAGAGCAGGAGGAGCTGTCTTAGATTAAGAAACTAATGGGGCACAATAACCTAATAAAAAGCATGAACTTCAATTTGATCCTATTTAAAAAAAAAAAGACATTTTGGCATTTTGGGAACATTTAGGGAATTTTGATTATGGACTTTATAGTAGATAATGATACGAAATTACGGTTAACTTTCTTCTTCTTTTTTTTTTTT